TCATTTGAAGTTATTATTTAACCACCTGGAATAGATGAATTAGTCAACCGCTTATTTTCTGTTTCGTATTCCATATTTGTACATCTGTAAGTCATTGGTTCTTAAAGAATTTGTAGTGAAAGGTATTATTCCTCACGATCTGTTATTTTTTCTTTAAGTTTATAAAGTGTCTGGTATATTCTGTGTAGTGAAAGGTATTATTCCTCACTATCTTTTATTTTTTGTTTAAGTTTATAAAGTGTCTGGTATATTCTGTCATTTTTATCTTTCTGGATACATTAGTTCGTTACATGTGAAATGTGTGTGTGTGTGTGTGTGGGGGGGGGGGGGACTATCACTGCACTATATTTCAGATATTCCTTAAATTACTACTAAACTCCAATTACTGCTAAACAAAACAAACAGTTTCTGTGAAAAATATGGTCTAAAAATTAATGAAAAAAGACCAAATACATGATAGTAACAAAGAAAACAAATATACCAACAACCATACATTTGGGAAATGTACCGATAGAAAGGGTTGATAAATACAAATACCTAGAAATCTGGATTTCGGACAATAATGATCAAACAACCGAAATAAGAGCCAGGATAGAAATAGCAAGAAATGCGTTTGTAAAAATGAAAACAATTCTCTATAACAAAGACCTTAGATTAGAACTGAGAGTAAGGAGCACTGAGATGCTACGTATTTTCGATACTGCAATATGAACTTGAAAGCTGGGCATTGAAGCAAGAACACGTAAATAAGTTACAGTCCTTTGAAATGTGGTGTTACAGGAGGATGCTTAGAATAGCATGGACACAGAAAAAAACTAACACGGAAGTATTGCGAGAAATAGGCAAAGAATGCGAAATAATAAACACAACAAAAATAAGAGTTACAATATCTGGGACACATCATGAGGGGACAGCGATATGAACTGCTAAAGCTGATAATACAGGGAAAGATAAGAGGAGGGAGTATAGGAAGAAGGAGAGTGTCAAGGTACAATATAAAAACATACCCAGTACTCTGTTTAGTGGATCTGGAGGTATATTTATAGAACATACACTGCCGAACATAAAATTAGGGTCATCCCGTAATTTGAATTTATTTTATAAATTATTATTCCTTTTAGCTATTTTCGGTTATAATATAGTTTACTAACAGTTTGATTAAAAAAACAATGTTTATTAAAAGTAATGAACGTTTATTTAAAGTAATTATTATTAATCTGCAATTTTCCTTTGATATATTAAACATTGAAAAGGGACAATTTTAATTTAATGTACTTTTTGTTAAAAAAAAAAAAAAATTAGGTCCTTCAGTAGCGAGTATTCCCTCCTCTAGCAGTGATAAAAGATTGCAAATAACAACGCATGCTTTGGATCAGATTTTTAATCACATTTTGCTAAAGATTGTTGCATTCCTGCACCAATATGTCGCGAGCAAGCAGTCCAAACAAATCGTGTGATGTGAACCTCGCCAGGATACTCAGTAACTATCTGAGCAGTGTGAGGCAGTGCATTATCATGCATAAATGGTATGCAATCTCCAAGAATAACCATAAACGACAAAACTTGGTCTTTTTGAACCTATATCAGATACCTATTCGCAGTCAAAGTCCCATTCTCGATAAAGACTAACTCCGTGTCAGCACCAAATAGCGCCAGACAGAATCTCCATTCGTCGGAAAACAATACACGATTCCAATCTTGTATCGTCCAAGTCAAGAGTGCAATCCGTGCAAAATTCAATGTAGCAATTTGGTGTTCACGGGAAAGCGGCGGTCCAATTACTCTATTCGCAAACATAAATAACCAGCATGAAGTCGCCTCCTAAGTGTCCATGCACTTACATTTACATTTATCTCTTCTTGCCGATGATTTCGAAGGGAAACTACCGTGACCGTCCTGGATTTCTCAAAGCACTAGAAACGACAAAGTGGTCATTTCTAGCTGTTGTAATTCTGCCTTGACCTGAGCCAGGTCTTTGAGTAATCAGACCGGTCTCTTCGTATCGTCTACATGCTCGTTGCTCATTCGAGAGAATTACACCAAAGAAGTTTCCGCATTTTCGCGCTGACCGTGGCCATCTTCGAACGCCGCCACAATTATTCTTGCCGCTACAACAGAACTTTGCTCATTGCAATACACTGACAGTGACGACACTATACAACAATTGACAATTGATGTTAAAACCACAGAAAAAAAACTAAGCTGCTAATGTTTTTTAAGAATTAGATTAACGGGCCCTTTTTATCTCAAGGACATATCGAAACAACAATAACAATTTTTTTCTAGCAATCCTTTAGTAAACTATGTTACAACCGAAAGTAGTTAAAAAGAATAATAATTTCTGAAATAAATTCAAATTACGGGGTGACCCTAATTTAGCTCGGCAGTGTATTAAAATCTATTAAGTAAGCATCAAACAAAATGATAATTTTCCTTTTGAAAAATCTTTTTTTTTGTCTAACGGTCTTTTTAGTATACACTTTTATAGAGTTGGCTTATAATCAAATAACTTTTTCGAATAAAATTTGGAACTGCTGTCCAAAACCAAGCTTATGTTTTCATAATCGTTGCCTACAGATCGAATCTAATAAAATAATTTGAAAATATTGCTTGCGAAATATGTAGAACTAAAATTGCAAATTTATTAATTTTATATACAGTTTTAAATAACTACTGACCACGTCGAGTTTTGACATTTGAACTTGTGCTAAACTTATCCAGCGATAACTGATGTAATAATATACAAAGTTATCTTGTGAATTAATGATAAAAGCGAAGTAGATAGTAATAAATTTTATCAAAAACATGTTGATATTATATCTCATTGTACACAGATGGTTGATTAGTTTAAATCAATGGTATGACTGTATAAGGATCATTTGATTGAAGAAATGTACTTCGTAGAGAGAATAGGGGAGTTGGTCTTGGTCTAACTCTTTTTCAAATACCTACTATTTTATTTTCTGAGAAAATCATTAAAAAAATACAATAACAAAACAGCAATAATGGTAATACCTATAGTACACCAGCTAAGATGTTGAAGTTACATAACCAACACACACAGAATATGAGATCAAAACTCCTTACTCCTTAGTAGCGCAGTGAGCATTAAACTTAGCGAGAGTATTCAAAACTTTTCTCTACTGTGTCGGTCATGCCTACCTGCAGGACCTGACTTGCTAGCCTGGATTTCCTGCCTACTTTCAGTTGTTCATCCTTGTCTTAGGATTCTAACAGCATTCAGTTCCATAGTTGCCGAAAACCGACAGTAAATTGGTCCTTTTCCTTGTTTGCTGTTTGTTTGTTCACAGTCCAATTTTGTCTTGTGACTTTGTGTTTTTAAAAGATCCTTCTCCACGATAAGGTATCACGGTTCTCGGAGCGGAATAGTTATATCTTCTTCTTCTTTTTTTCTGTGTAGACTTGACTGTTGGACAGTTCATCCTTTTTCAATGTGCTCCCAGTATGTTGTCGTTTCATCGTTTTCGTGGTCTTTCCACCGATCGCCTTCTTATTGGGGAACTGTCTCTCGCTGTCCTTACTACTCTATTTGTTGTTATTCATATGATCATTCTTCATATTGATCATATGTCATATTCATATGATCATTGAATTCTACTCTTCTATTTCTTACCCATTACTTGATGCTCCCCACCTTTCATTCCCGTCGTATATCTGTACTTATATCTATGTATTATAGTGTCTGACCATCGATGTTTTTCTCTCTCCATGCTGTTTCAAGCATGGGTCTGATGACTGTTTTGTAAATTCTGTATTTTATTTCTTTACTGGTATTTTTATTTCTCCGTATTGTTTCATTTATAGAATAGTTAGGTATAGATAGAAAGATAATTTGTTTATGTTTAAAATTTTGCTTTGGTTTGCTGAAGGATTTCTAATAATTGGAACCACCGGTGAAAACTTCGGGTATTTTTATTAGAATCATTCTGGTCAAGTGAGACTATAAATTTACTTAATAGTTGGCTTGATTGATGTTTCCATCAATGGAAAGATCAATGCTCGGGGTGAGACTTATAGACAAAAAAAAACAAACAAAAGCAAAACCAAAGTAAAAGACGCAGGAGAACATGCTGCCAAATTAAAATGGAGCTTCGCAGGACACAATGTCCGACTGAAGGATAAGAGATGGAATCACGAAATACAACAATGGAGATCATGATTAGGAAAGAGAAGCAGGGGAAGATCACAAATGAGATGAGCGGATGATATTGACGCAAAATAGAAGACACTGGAATGATTTGGGGAGGCCAATGTCCAAAGTTGGATTACTTGAGGCTGAAGAAGAAGAAGAAAAGAAGAAGAAGAAGTTGGCTTGATTGGCTACAAGGAATTTAATATTACAAGGAACATTATCATAGAACTTAAAAAAAACATTACACATTATTGGCACTCATATCTCGTTTCTAAATATTTTCTGCACACTTAATAATATGATATTGTTTTAAGAGATCTTATTCAACAATTAAACACAGATTCCTGCTATGTTCCAAACTGATTATGCTTTTTGTAGCTTTTTAGGCAACCAAAAAATTAATTTCTTGAAAATTCTTCTGTGCTTTTAGTGAAAAATTTTCTTTTGTAATAATGAAGAATAAAAATTTGATTTTTAGTAAAGCACAATGATGTAATTCTCATTGTTCCGGTTAATAACTATATTTCCTTTAAAGAGAGTTTAATTAAAAAAAAATGAAAAACTATATTATTTGGTATAAACTTTATTACGGTATATAAGATAATTCGGTTTTTTTATAGTGCATACCTTAACAAAAATTATGTTTTAAGTTTAGCGTTTGAACATAAATTCATATTTTTATGTCTCAAATTAATTATTTGTATAGAAAAATATTTTATTATAAAATTATATACCAGAACTAGGTCCGTCTCTGTTTCATGACGCACTTAATATTTCCACACGTAATTATTTCAATTGCCAAGTACCCCTGAAAGTAGATCACTAACAATACACTTTTGCTTTGTAGTTGCATATGGAGAAGATCCAAGACAACAGTATAGCCCCGCCTCTCAGAATGAAGGGGCGGAACCGTCACCCCACTCCAGAGCAGCCACTCCTCTGGAATGCCTCACGTATACGACTGAAGTTGACCAAGACAATTATCCAGCATTAGTCAGATCGGACGGGAGGTATATGCCGTTCACTTTAGAGGTAAGGATTTTAGAATAAAACTTTCTACATTTCAGCTAGAAATTTTTTGCTGCAGTTCGCACGTATCGAATAATTAAAGTGATTTACAATTAAAAGATAAAAGGATTGTTTACAGTAATAACGTATACAGTAACATTTTTCTTTAACTTGATTTTTATTGTTTTGATTTGATATGAGGTTATAAACGGTAATCTACATCTCTTGTAGGTACTTGATTCTATTAAATACAATTGGTTTTTGACCAACTAGAAGTGACTGGAAATTACTGTACAACTAAATACACGTGCTTATAGCCAATTATTATAATTATAAATAACTTAAAAAGAAAAACTTATTCACGTGCAGTTTATAAAAAAAAATAAAACTGCATTAATTAAAACAAAAGTTTAAATGTGTATTTTTGTAATTTTACAGTCGTTTATAGATTAATATTTACAAATGGAAAGTTTTTAATGAAAATAATGAATATACTCTCCCATTATTCATGATCAGTGGCGGATCCAAGGGGGTCATGATCCCCGTCCCAAACAAAATTAAATATCAATCAAATAACCCTAAAAAATAATTTAAAACCCATCAACTCTATAAGCAGAAAGTCAAGAGTTGAAATGATTCAAACTCATTTATTCTAGGGGTAACTGTGGAATTATGCGAAAGCTTTATTGCGTTGCTCTTTAAAAAAATTAACAATTCTGAATACAGTAATACCTCGACTAACGCTACCCCAACTTCCGCAAATTCAGAGTTACACGATTTTCAAACTTTTCAATTCATCATTTGAGTGCCAGAGAATCGTTCGTTTATTATCGATGAGATAGAATTACCGCCCACACATTATTGCTCATTCAATGTTCATGACATGACTTTTCGCAGGAAATCAGCACATTTTTATTTTGTATTAGTTATTTCTTATCTTCAGTTTTGTCTACGAATTGGTTGTTTGTAATTTGAATATGTATTATAATTGTTGAGACTGTGTGCCACATTTGATAATTTATCTATAATAGGTAAATATCAAAGTGAATATTGTTGTTGCATTAGCTCTGTCTGATACGTTAGTGAATACAAATAAAGGAACTGATTGTTGCTGTCCAAGGTACTTATGAAACTCATAGGGTTGAAAGGCATGAAGGTCATCTTCAGTTCCAGGGAGAATCAATCATCAAAATATACAACGCTCTTGAAAAAATTTCTACGTGGAAGGACAGTAAAATGTCAGCTGATGCATTTTCAATAATGCAAACTATTAGAAGCCCAGAATTTCTCATTTCAGTAGTTTGCCTTGGTGATGTTTTAGGTATAACTGTATCACTTCGTCTTCTTCAGTCACCAAAATTAGATTTGAATCTATAGATAGAGGCCATAGAGGACACTAAATGCATTCTTCAAAATAAAAGATCACATTCTGAATCTGTTTTTAGCAAACTTTACTATGAAGTAAAGGAAATAGCTGAACAACTAGACATTGAATTGAAGATGCCTCGTATGCATCTTATTCTTGTATGTATCTTCTATGTATGTTCTTGATCTCATCTGTATGTGCCTGTTAACTCTTGCGAAGAATAGTATTTACACTATTATAAGTATAATCGTTCAAAAGATACGAGGGAGAACGGACTTTTGACGAACACTGTATATATATATATATATATATATATATATATATATAATATATATATATATATATATATGTATAATATGTATATAATGAATTATTTCCTGTTAAGGTCACTGCACGCCATTCCAATTTTAATAGTGGTCTTTTTGAACAGGGTTTCAGTAATGTCGGGATAGTGGAGAATGTAGATAATTATAAAGTGATGAAGAATTGCAACGACAAAAATAATAATAAATAATGAAAGAATGTGTATTGTTAAATTTAAATACAATAAACAAATGGTTCTTAAAAGAATGTTATAGATCAAAGAATTGTATCTATAAAATTCGCTGTGAATGCAACAATTTTTTACATGGGAGAATCCGCAAGACCACTAAGTGTCAGGATAAATGAGCATGAAACATACATCAAAAACGGAGATTTCAACAAATCATAGATATGAAAACATGCCTGGGAGAATGAGGACAGTTTACAATCCACAGATGCATTAATAGTAATTAAAGAATCACACATGAAAAAGAAAAAAGTCAAAGAAGCGGCTCTCATTTTACTTAATGACGAAAAACGTGTAGAAAGCCCACAAAAATAAGCAGAATGAAGCACGCGCTACTAAAGCTACTAAAAAAAGAAGCCAGCAAAAAGAATATGCCAACATTAATGGTTAAATAGAAAATCAGAGACACCTCATCTACAATTATACATAATACATAAACACACATTATATCATCTTGAGGGTATAAAGACCACCCTCAGGATGATAAGATGAAAAGAAGAATTGTCAACTAAAATCGTGAATATTTTTGTATAAGATCGAGGCTAAATAGGTTACCCATCAAATTGGCAAACAAAAGCGCCAAAACAATTATAGATTATTATAGGCGTAACAACAGCATCGAGTTAGAATAACAACAGCTTAATAATTTTACGTCAAACAATTGTAAAATGGAATTTTCATTAACAACAATACATTGTGGCTTGATCCCATATAAAAAATATTCTTGATAACTAATGTCTTAATAGTTTTAAAGCTATATTAATGTTTATTAATTAAAGTTTTTATATAATATATTTAAAAATAAAATAATTAATTATTTAGTTAAATATAAACAAAACACATTACACTAAGATAAAGTTGGTTGCCTAAGTTAAGGTTCTTTACGCGGGTTTATTTTTAGGATTTTGAGTGACATTTCGGCCACTAAGTACGGCGTTTACGAGTTTACGTATGTTACGTCACGTTAATGTTTTGGGGATGAAAGTAATTTCGTCTAACCTTTCTGGATTTGCCCTAATTAAATTACGAGTTTGCTTGTAATATGTTAGTTCAATATGCATCTTTATTTTGTTTGGATATTTTTGCTTTTGGTTTGATTTCCTTATGGCGGTTTTCGACAAAACGGACGGTTAAGTGTTGAGTGTATGTTTTGTTTGCATTTTCTTAAACAAAAACAAAACCAAACTACATTTTGTTAGAATTTTGTATTTGTGTTTGGTCCTTTTCTACTGGTTGTCACAAGGAAGTCAAAGTACAGTTTTTTCTTCCATAACCACAAACTGTTTAGAGAAGAAGATTTTTTCTTCTGTTGGGTTGTGAAGTTGTGTCTGGTTTATAAAAAATTCCTTGAAAAAAGGGTTTATTTTGTCATGCATAAAACTCATTGCATTATAGGGTAAGTTCGGGAGAGTGGGACCACATTTCTTTGGATGCTCACTAAAATTATATTTTTCAACTTATTAACATTATTATTTAAGCGTTTGGTAAAGAATTTAGGTTTATATCCTTAAGAGTTTACTTTCTAATTCAATTAATAAAGGCTACATTGCATTTTTTTTAAACTTTGCATGGTCCATCTCACCCGGATGTGTCTGGATGAGATGGACCAGTAGCTTGGTAGAGATGGAAAAGAGGTAAAAAGTAAGATCAATGACTAGAAAACAAGTATAAAGTAAAAATATGTATATTTTACATAATAATAAATGTTACAATACTAAATAAAAAAACAAACAAGTCTATTCTTTTGCTTTCATGACCACAATCTTCCTATTAATGGGAAACTTCCCTTTTTGTGACTTTATTTCCCTGGTACCGCAAAAGTCACATTTTACTTCAAATCTAGAGCAACTTTTATGAAACCACCGAGAACACTGTACACGCTTCACCCAGTCTTCTTTTTTTTGTAGATTCATTGCAAGCCTCTCCACATCCCACACATTCATCTTCATCCCATTCTTCTACTGACATACCGTCATCTTGGACTAGATTTGCAGAATTATAGCTTTCTGAGTCTGAACTTTCAAATTGTGTCACTTTACCACATGGTTCCTTTTTTGGCTTGAGAAACTTCTTTTTTGATTTTTTTTTCTCAGTTGATCTTGTTTCTTTTTTTGTCTATCTTTCATTACTTGCTCAACAGCCTTCCCTTTTACAACAGCAATATTCTGAGCTGAATTTAATAGTTTTGAAACAGTCTTCAAACATCTCTTAACGGTTACTTTCTGTGTGAGAGAAGGGACGGGTGATATATGTTCTAGAAGTTTAGAAAGAGTCATTTTTGACGGTGTAAGGCTACTAGAAGTACTGGGGATACTAGCAAGATCTTGGTACTGCACAGGAGACAGAAGAATTAATAGTGTGCAGTGCGCCAATACTTGGACAATGGGCCCTGCACCGGAGGAATCGGGCTCTAGGTAGGCGTAGGCTGGTATTACGGACATATGTAGAGGGACTATACCATAAGCTTGAAATCCACTTACACCGTTTTGTACACCTGCAGCTTTGGTCCATGCCGAGTTGAGAAGTTTTCAAAACTGCAGACGATTGATCTTTCTGGATGGATTGTTTGTAATGAAATAATTACAAGCACTATAAAAAGTAGGACTTAAGTGATTTGAAAAAGATCGGTCAAAGGTTGTAGCCAGTGCAAAGTATGGGGTGGAATGCTCATCATAATGATTCCTTCTTGCTTCGTCTATACTAGGACTTCCAAGGAACTGGTGTGTGAAGTGTGACCATCAAGTAAAAGAAGTACTTTCCCAGCTGGTTTTCTAGGTTGGAAATCACTTTTTAACCAGTGCAGAAAAATTTCACTAGTGACATAAAAAGATTTTTGTGACATTTTTACAACTGAGCCAGGAGGCATCCCGTCCATGAACTCAACTTTCAAGTTCTTGCCCTTCATTATGCAGTATGTGGGAAGCAATGTACCTTCAGCACTAGCACAAGCTAGAACAGAAACGGTTTCACTCTTTTCCCTGATGTAATGGAAGTTACATTTTTGGAACCTTCAATGGTAACATTTCCTGGCTTGTTGTTGAAGCCCGGTTTTTTCCATGTTAAAAATGTGCCCAGGCTTTTCAATCAAATTGTTTTCCAAAATAACACTTTCGAGTAACTTCCACACACCTCGTGTTCATTCCCTTAGCTCGGGATACAGATACACCATCTGATTTTCTAATAGTAAGATAGATTCTTAAAGAGTTTAGCCAATCATAACCAGCTTTTCTAGTTTCCTTGTTGAATTTGTGAGGTAGTTTTAGCTCTTCAGCACGTTTAAACGCCATGCTTCTCACTGAATCCCTGCAAGGAGTAAACCCATGAGCTTGTAACTTTTTTATGTGGCCTACAATCTTCTGTTCATTTACTCTTTCTAAAATGGAGGAAAACCCTAAACTGTTCTTCGCAAACTTTTGTTTTTTAATCCGTCTTTTAAGAGTGGTCTTAGAAATTTAATAAGCTTTAGCAGCAGCATTGACACCCTTTTCTTTATTTTTCACCGCATTAACCGCTTGTATTAATGCATCTTCCGTCCAAGCTCCTCTAATGACTGTATCCTTTCTTACGTAGTTAGTTGGCATTTTTCTTCTTCTTCCTTCTTGTATGTAGGCTTTAAAGCCTGCTTCTTCTTCAATATTAACCTCTTAAATTGTTTAATTATCGCACCATCTTTTTCTTGGCCTGACAATACTTCTTCGTCCATTTGGTGACTTATCTTTTTGAAACCAGTACTTATTAATACACTATAAGTCGTTTTAATAAAAGTAACATTTAAAAACGTTGGTACTGTTCCATCTCTTCAGTATTGAAATACGTGGCCCATCTCTACTAAAACGTACTGGTCCATCTGTCCCAAAAGTCCGGGTGAGATGGACCACCTCATAATTCGCATTTTTAACGTATACATGGCGGCCTTTTTAGGTTAGGTTACTACCTACATGTTTATTGACATCGCTACAAGAATCCTACGTCGATATCACATAAACTTAAACTGAAAACTAAAACTAATGTTACTACTTTAAAAAACTTTTGGACTTACTAAAACAGACAATGACGTTTTTCTCGACAAATATTACCAACAGCACCACACAACTAACAGTATGTCTTCACTGTAACTGAAGCATACTCACAACAAACGATGGTAGCGCTCGAGCGTCACAATTCAGAAATAATGGACTGGTCCATCTCTTCCGGTGGTCCTCTCTAACCTAAAACCTCTTGGGTGTAAAATTCTTTCCTGCGCCAGATTTCTTCATTTTTTTTAGATCCTTCTTTCCCGTTAATATTGTGAAATTTTATACGAAATGTGTTAAAATTTACGATACAATAACTCCATTTCGGCCTTTTTTAGTCTCATTAGGAGACGTTTTATTGGCCTTCGCGTTTGAGTTTATATCCAACTGCCCGTACCTGATGAGAGCAAACGAGGTCGAAATGGCGTCATCATCAGCAATTAGCCTATATTTGTCCACTGCTGACCGTAGGCCTTCCCTAAAATTTTCCATTTATTTCTATCTTAGCTTCTTGCATCCAACTGTCTTAAAGACATATATAAGTAAATATGCACATACTTTATATATTTGATGTTGCTTTCTCAGCTGCTCCTTTAAAGTTTTTTTTTGTTTAAGGTTCCACTAGAAGAGGCTAATGGCACCGAGTACTTACAACTGGGACCGACAGCAATTGCGAACGGTTCTCCAACACAAGGAAGCGGTGGTAGTCCTAGTCCTGGCTCACCAAGAGTTTACAGTCTTTCCGCCATACATTCGGGAGATGAGCATCAGTCCACCATTGAAGGATCTCAGCTAACTCAACTCACAAGCCATATCAGTTACACTGGTGTTGGTATAAGTTCTCCCAATTCAGCAAACATGTCTAGGTAAGTGCAAATAAATATTTCGATATATTTAAATTGGCTAGTTAAATCCATTCTCGAGATTAGCTAGTTAATCCGTAGTAAAATCAAGAATACAACATTTGGTTAGATTTTTCGCTGCTTTTTTGGAGTTGTGAGAACTTTGTGTTCTGGGATTTATCAGTAGAACTAATCGGAAATATATTGAATGGAAAACTTTTTGGGAATGTCCCAATTATCCAACTGACGTATGTCTCCATTAAATATTATAGTGATGCTTTCTTTCTAACGTGAATATACGCTATAAATATGTCTAACATTCACATGTGAGTAATGCTGAATTGGTATTTTTTATAAATATTCATTACGTAACATTAATAAACACTCCTATCAAACTTATATCAAAAACCAAATAACATCTTACAAAAAATACGAAATACTAAATAAAGTAGGTACCTAATAGAACAGGTCCAAATGTTAACCTTGAACATGAATAGCCTACCCAAACATTTGCCAGTGTATTCTTCTCCTGTTTATCAACTAACCTGTTTTAGTAGATCATCTAAAATTAATGTATACTCTTCATTGTATCCACTGCTGCTGGAAAATATAATCTGGTACATTCTCCTGTTGGTACAAATTTTGAAAGGTTTCCTAACAAGTGACGTTAGTTACTGTCTCTGTTTTAATAAAATATAATAGAATAATAATTTTTATATTACGTCTAGTTTTTCCATCTTCTTGTCATGCCATACTCATTTGGGAGTAGGCCACTCCTTTGTACATGTCTTTGTTACCTACGAGTAACCTTGCCACCATTATCTTTAAACTCTCACCATAAGACTAACACGATAGAAATATTAATTGGGCTTCCAGTGCAGCCCTTTCAATCCTTTCTCAGACTCTTTGTTGACCCGTTGTAATCCTTTATAAACGGCCATCTTGGATTCCAAATTGCCCATAGCTTCATTCTAAGTTCTGTAAACCTTTACCAAGAAGAGTTAATTTCAACTTCAGATTCTCAATTTTGGTCTCCGATAGAAGGTACGCCAGCACCTGTTTGGATTTAGAAAGTTCTTCACCCTTAACAGCTTTCCATCCCAGTTTTGGACGTAGTTTTGTTCATTTTTGGGTTCTTCTTAAATTTTCTCGTTTTTTGAATTATTTTTGTTAATTCTGTTCACCAAATATTGGAAATTCCTTGAACAGATCTTTTTAAACGCGTAACTTGGATGCAGGTTTGGGTGAGTACGAAACGCCTTTGCTTTACGTTTTGCTATTCTCTTGGTAACCTAACCTAACCTAACAGCAGTCTGCTCCGCTCAAGCCCCATAACCACGTCAAGATGGAACAGCCCTATGGGGTAGCTCTAGTTTTCTTTTTATAAGCCTAGTATAAAAGGTTTTCGGCCATTCATTGTATAAGTATGTATGTAATATGTTGGCTAATCAATTAATATATCTTCTATTGTACTATTTTACTGGTTGTTGTAATTTTCTTTTTTGTTTCATATTCTGTAGGTATGTAGATATTTCTGAATACTAGAGTAGGTTTTTAAGTTATATTATTGCTTTATTATATTGATTATTTTTATCGTTAGTAATTTTACGTAACTATCTTGTATTAAATAATGACTTTAATTTTCTTCACGTTGTTAGTCTCCTTTTTCATGTACTTATTCTTTATTATGTCGTAAAAGCCTATCCCACTTTTACCTCAATTTTCCCCAGTTAATTTGCTTATTATAATTTTTTAATAGATTACTTAAAGTAGATTACTCAGTAATCCCCTAAATCTAAAATTTTCGATTCTTTACATACATAATGTCGGTTTACAACGTTCTTCGTCGTCTTCCGATTTCCAATCTCCATCTCATTCTATCGTTCCATAGATCGTCCTCCAGTTCTCTTTCCCTGATTTCTTTATCAACTCCTTCTTTCCAACTTCTTTTAGTACTTCTTGTTCTCCGCCTACCTATTGGTTGCCATTCAAGAATTTGTCTTGGTATTCTGTTCTCCGGCATTTTCCTTACGTGTCATTACCATCTAAGTTGTGTCGTTTTGATGTCATTATCAATATTATGTGTAAACCCCATGATTTCTAAGACTCTCTCGTTTGTTATTCTGTAGCGTCTAGAGATTCCCGCCGAGCGGCGCCACAAGTCCATTTCTGTTACTCTAAGCATTTTATCTGTTCTTTCTCTTAGGGACCACACTTCGCATCCATATGTTGTGATACTTTTTATTATGGTGTTGTATGTTATTCTTTTATTTTCCTTAGAGATGTTTTTATCCCACAGTACACTGTTCAGTAAGGCTATGCCTTTCCTTCACTGTGTATTTCGTTCCTTAATGGCTGCATCTAATTTTCCGTCCTGAGTGATCTTTACGGTGATACGGCCTGAGCCTCAACTTCAAGAAGACAAAGTGGATGCTGATAAGCAAAAAGCAACAACCTGCTCGACAATTACGGATAAGTAACATATTAATTGACCATGTAGAATCTTATGTGTACCTTGGCACCAACGTAAATACAAAATGGGAACAGACCATAGAAATTAAGGCGAGAATAGAACGAGCTAGAGCAGCATTTAGCAATATGAAACAGCTCCTCATAAGCAAGGATTTGTCTCTTCCCCTAAAACTACGTATAGTTAAATGCTACATTTTTCCGATCTTGCTGTATGGCGTGGAGGCCTGGACGCTGACGGAGACGCTAACGAGAAAACTAGAAGCATTCGAAATGTGGGTGTACCGACGCATTCTTCGTATATCCTGGACCGAACATGTCACCAACATAGAGGTACTCCAAAGAATCGGAAAGGAGAAAGAAATCGTGAATACAATTAAACAAAGAAAGCTTGAATATCTAGGCCACATATTGAGACACGATAAGTACCGTCTGCTACAATTGATTGTCCAGGGAAAAATAGACAGTAAGCGAGGGCCAGGCAGGAGAAGACACTCGTGGCTCCAAAATCTGCGGAAGTGGTTCGGGCTCACATCGGTCGAACTATTCAGAAGCGCTGCAAACAAGATCAAAATTGCCATGTTAATAGCCAACGTTCGCAACGGACAGGGCACTTGAAGAAGAAGAAGAAGAAGAGTGATCTTTACTCCTAGGTATTTGTAGTCGTCACATAGTTTGATCTCTTGATTTTCCTCTACGATAAGGTTATGTTGATCTCCTCCGATACTCATGTACTCAGTTTTTTCCATATTCACTACCAAACCCCAATCTGTAAACTCTTCTAATAGTTTTTGCATCATGTAACTAAGGTCTTCAGAGTCCTGTGCGATGATGACCTGGTCATCCGCAAACCACAGAGTGTACAAAGTTAAGTCCATTAGTGGTATGCCCATATTCGTACATTTTTTCTTCCATTTGTTGAGTGCTGCTTCGAGGTATATTTTGAATAATGTTGGGGATATACAGCATCCTTGTCTTAGTCCTTTAGTCACTTTGAATCCCGGTGGTACCAGATTTCCTGTTTTAATTCTTGTTATTTGTTGGTAGTACAACGTTTTTACCGCTTCAATCAATTCTATATTTATATTTGTTTTCCCCAGTGCCTCGCATAATTTATCAAGCGGGACACTATCATATGCTTTCCTAAGGTCTACGAACGTCAGGTGGACTTTTGGCCACGAGCAACTTTCTTTTCAATTATCTGAGTAATATAGAAGACATGGTCTATTGTAATCGACCTGCACGAAAACCAGCCTGTTCTTCGGCTTCCATATGTTGGTATTCTTCTTCTATTCGATTTTTTATTATTTTCCCATATATTCTGCTAATACTACTAGTAACTGCAATTCCTCTATAGTTTTCAGGTTTCGATTTATCTCCCTTTTTATGGATGGTGCTCATATGCGATTCTTTCCATTCCTCAGGTATTTCATGTTTATTTATGCATTCTTGAAAAAGTTGTCGTAGCCGTTGAATTAGTATTTTGGGTCCATGTTTGATGAGTTCCGGAGCTACATTTCCTGGGCCAGGTGATTTGCCATTCTTTAGATGTCCGCGTCTTTTCGACTTCTCTCTCATTTATTCTGATTAGTCATCCTATCAGTCTGACGCCTTGTAGACCATAGTTCTATAGCTGTTTGAAGGGCTCTCTTGTCTCTGTTAGTAAATATTTGAAGTATTCTTCCCAAGTTTGCGGTGATTTTTTAACAGTTTCCAGCTTTCTGAACTTTGGCTTCCACCAATGTATGTATTTAGCATGGTGCACTTTTTTCCCAGGATTCATTTTTCTTTTGGCATATTTTTCTTCTGACCATCGCTTGCATTCTTTTGTATTCGATTCTGTCTTCCACATTTCTTGTGTTCAGATATTTTTGATACAATTTTCTTTTCTGTGTTATTATTTATTTATATTTTCGATTCCTTTATTTGTGTAAATTAGTTATTACTAAATAATAACAGTAAGGTTGGACATTTTAAAACTAAAGACATATTTTGTTGAGGTATACTAGTGTACTTATTGTAGCGTGACAGCTTGATCAAATAGGGTAACACTTTAATGAATTATTCTTCGTCGCCCCCTTGTATGTATATATGTTTATTAATTTTATTCAGTAGGCTTAAATAGAATTGTCGTACAATTTGTTGGTAAAACTATAAATGAATTATTCAGTTGAAATGGTTTCAACAGGAAAAAGTAATTGTTGATAAGAACGTTTCCTGTTTTAAATTTCGCACTATGAAAGGTTTATAGAGGAAAAACTATTATATTATACATCTAAGTATATCAGTAATAATTAAAATCTATCAAGACGTGGGAATAGTTGGGAAATATCGGGAAACTTGACTTATTTTTTAGAGACTATTAAATGACCTGACAAATCGATGGTATAGTCGGTTCACTCAACTTGAGAATATTTTGACAGTCATTGTCGGAAAAATACATTATAAAAATTCCTACCACACCTCATTAATAGCTAAAATAAACTTAGTGCTACAGATTTTTTTACTTGAAAAATGAAGAACAATCATTAATAATGGGAGTGTATATTGATTAA